TCTTTTTTGTACTAGGGAGCCTAGAACTGGGCACTCCAGGTTAGGGCAGAATCCCCTCCCTCGATCTGCTGACCACTCTCCTTTTAATGCACCTCAGGACGCCCCTGGCATTCTTGGACACCAGGGCACACTGCTGGCTCCTGGCTAACCTGTTGTCCACCAGGACACCCAGGTCCTTCTCCACAGAGCTCCCTGCTAGCAGGTCATGTCCCAACCTGTACTGATAATTGCAGTTATTCCTTCTCAGATGCAAGACTCTACACTTGCTTTTTTAAAACCTCATCTGGTTTCTAGCTGCCCAGCTCTCCAGTCTGTCCAGGTCTTGCAGCACAGCCTTCAGGTATGTCAGCTACTCCTCCCAGCTTTGTATCACAGGCATACTTGCTGAGAATGGACACTATCCCCTCATCAAGGTCACTGATGAAAATATTGAATAAGACTGCACCCAGCACCTACATCTGTGGAACAACACTAGTCCCAGGTCTCCAACAAGACTCTGTGCCACCAACCACAACCCTCTGAGCTCAGCCAGTCAGCTAGTTCTCAACCCACCTCACCATCCACTTATCTATCCCACACTTTCTCAGCTTTGTCATCAGGATGTCATGGGAGACAGCATAAAAAACCTTTCAACCTGTTGGCCACATTTTTTATGCACCTCAAGATACCACTAGCCTTCCTGACCATAAGGGCACACTACTGGATCACAGACAACATGTCATCAACCAGGACACCATGCCCTTCTCTGTAGAGCTCCTCTCCAGCAGGTCAGCCCCTAAACTGTATTGAGCAAGGTTATTCTGCCTTAGGTGTAGGACTCCGTATCTGCCCTTGCTAAATCTCAACAGGTTCCTCACTGCCCAATTCTCCAGCCTGTTCAGGGCTTGTTGAATGGCAGCACAGCCTTGTGGTGTGTCAGCTGCTCCTTTCAGTTTTGTATAATCAGCAAACTTGCTGAGGGTGCACTCTATCCAAGTCACTGGATGAGGATTGTTAAAAAAGAATGTAGTGATTGCACAGGAACACTTTCTAGCTACAGGCTTCCACATCAGGACTCTGTGGCACTGATCACAACCCTCTGAGCTCTACCAGTTGCCCAGTTCTCTCATCTCTAATTTTCTCTTCATGAATCTGTGCTGAGTACTCCTGAAATGCCTGTTCACTCAGCCTGTGATCTCAGCCTCATGGTTCAGAAAAAAGACAGCTTCCCTGGCAACACCACATATATTCCATTCAGCACTGTGGACTTGTAGTTGTTTATGTTATTTGACTAGTCATCTTCTACAGCAAGTAGCAGCCTCACTTCCCTGAATTCTACCACTAGCTACAGAAACCATGCCAATGAAGTCTAAGGCAAAGATGTTGAATACTTCAGCCTTTTCTTTGTCCTTCATTCTATGATATGTCCCGCTCATTCTGACATGCTTCATAGTTATACTCCTCCCTCTTATCTCTATTAAGTTTCCACCTCATGAAATGTGATTTCACAAATTATATTCATTTTACTCTTTTCATATTCGTCAGTTTCCTTGCAGGGCTTCTCCACTATGAGCTCAATGGTTTTCTGCTGGTAAACTGTGTCAGCAGTATCAGTAACTATATTATTAACGCTGTGAAATGGCATGAGGACACTCAGAAATGCATGTTAATATTCAATATTAATAACTAACAGTAATAAGAGTCTCTGGTGTCATAGTGGGACATTCCAGAAGTTCTAGTGACCTAAGCCCAGCCTCTAATACATGCCATAGTGGCTGCTGGAGTGATACTCCTTCCTGATGGCTTTCCATAAAATCCTTCTATTAGTCCCATAATCATTCTTCTATTAGCATCCCATAAAGTCTCAGGGAGAACTCCAAGACTTTTAATCGTTAAAGGGACTAACTGTCACAGGAGCCAGGGCTGCTGCAAGTCCATATGCTGCTCTGCAAGGATGCAGTAATTTTTGCTAGCAGCAGTTTTTAGCAGTAGTTTAAGAGAAACATACATGTCATATACAGGTCTCTGCCCTTCACTTGTGAAGTGAAACACAGCTTCCAGTAGTCATGGCTCCTATTCACTCCCACCAGTCTGCCCTACTCCACAGCCACATCCTCAGCATTCCTACACATCTGTCTTGGCCACCCACTCCCAGCTGCACTCTGTTACCAGGAGCTCCTCATAAATTTGCCACTTCCTTCTTTCCCTCCTCAGAAACCACCTCTCATTAGCTTGACAAGTTACAAAGAGAGGAAGACAAGAACCCATAAGTTGTGTTTAATGCAGTGAATGCCACTGTTGAGAGATTAACTTCAGCATATGCAAGCTAACAGCACAGTTTACTAAACATGCTTGAAATATTAAAATATTCTTGGTCTTCTCTAGCCGCATACATGAATGCTGGTAAAAAGGTGCACCTTAAAGGTAGTAAAAAGAACAAATGAGAGTTACTCATAGTTTGGTATTTGTTTGTTTTTTGTACTTCCCAACTCTGACAGCATATATGTCATTCCCAAATGTGGGGGAAGCCTAACTGAACAGAATGAAGATACATAAGCAACAGAAGATATAGAAAATAATGCTCTCATCATGGATTCAAGACGAAAGTCAGCATGGTCTAGAGAATATCAAGCATAAAAGGAAGGAATACGCAAGTCTACAAACTTTTGAGAAAAACTGAAAGTACAATCTAAGATTAAAACACTTAGAGAAACATCTGTAAAACAATCTCTTCTACTGCAGAGTGTTGGCTTCATCTTTTGATAGCTCAGATCTTGAAAAATAAGTTCCAAAATGCTATCAGTAAAGAAATTTCAACATCACAACCAGAAAAAATACCTCTCTATGGCAAAGAAGCAAAAAGCACACGGAGTTACTGGAATAATTAAAACTATTTAGTTGCAGAAAGCATTGCATTTTACTACTACTACTACTACTACTACATGTGTTATTTGTAAATGCTGTACCTCTGAACATTGTACTTTTTCCTCAGTTTCAAAAGTTTAAGAGAAGAGTCTAAATTTAGCTTTTAGAAGTTCAGACTGTTCAACACTTTGCTTCAACACAGGTGTTAGTACCAAGTCAGAAATAACACTGAAACAATTCTGATAGCTTCCATTTCTGATTTATCTTTAGCAACCGATGCTGACAGGAATCAAACAAGCTCTGCACACTAAGCTAAGTACAATAGTAAAATATTTGTGAAGGGAAAAAAAAAAAAAAGCTTTATTTTGATAGGCCTTTCAAAAAGTTAATGTTTAATTCAGTATCTAAGTAATATCAAAACCTATTTTGTTGTACTATAAATTGATGTAGATTATCGCATTTACTAAAAGCAGGAGTGACTAATGTTGCAGAACAGAAAAAAACCAGCAAAAATTAGCATGAAAAAAAATCCTGAACTACACATTGATTTGAGCTGGAAGGTTTTTTTGAAACAAATAAGTCCTACAAGTGCATAAAAACAGTGCAATCAGTAACAGCCCAGAATACTGCTTACTAAACAGTTTTGGAAGATGGCAGGAAAGGCCTACCAATAATTAATGGGGGTGGACATAAAAATATAATTAAAGAGATAGAACAGTTGGGTCTTTTCTGAAAAACTAGAACAAAAAAACGTAAAATGAAACCAATCATCAAAGCAAGTAATGAATTGCCCCTGTTCATGACACTGCTTTTCAAGAATGAAAACTAGTTAATAGCTTTTAGATTCAGCACAGATGCAACTGCATGAAATTTAATATCCTGTTGAATTTAGAAGCACTTTTTATTTGTCATCAAAACCTATCTACTGATGAACTAGGGGGGCTTTTTTTAAACATTTCAACTGTGAACTATCATATCTACATTTTTCCTGGTTTAGGAATAGTGTAGAGTGAGGATTTTCAGTACTTGTTCACTTGAATATTTTGAACAATGCTTCAATCTAGGAAAGAAAAAAGCCCCACAAAACAAAAAAACAAACAAAAAACTCCAACCAATCCTACTACTGAGAATTTAATCTTTTCCCTTCCACTTTCTTATAAGCCTTTCAGAAACAACTTTGCTAAACAGAAGGCTATACTAGATAATGGAACATTTACGATAGCTTTTGCAGAGCCAAAGGACTGGAAAAAAAGAAAATCTAAAGACTTAAGTAATCTTCAATGTAAAAGTATAGGGACATGTTAATATTGTGACTTAGAATTTGCAAAAGCATAAAGGGAATGTCAGACTGTAACAAACCAGATAAACAAAAGAAAAAAATTATCTGACAATTTAAACAGATACACAGATAGATTAATACCATATTGAACTCTACCTACAAGAATACTTAAAAATACCTTAGGGCAGGATAATGATGCCTGTTTTCCATGTAATTCCGATACAAGCAATATTTAAAGTCATTGAAAATATCTAACTTGTAAATGATTTGAATATTGTCTAATTTTAAACCATAAAATGTGTCCCGCACGTGGCTCTAGGTCATCTGCTTCTTTAATAATACTGAGTTTGGCTTATATTTTTTAAGCTTGAACCCTGCAGGACTTTTCACGTAAATAAAATAAAGCAAAGTTACTTTCCTCTAGGTGTACTCAAAATACCAATGCTGTGATCAACAGTGAGAAAAATAATGCAGGCAATGTTTTTTGTTTGCTCGTTTGTTTTCCACTTGATGATGAGCTCAACAGTATTTCACATATTTTTTCAAAGACTTTGCTCCAGTTACAACTACACGACTGCTGTTGCTCCCTAAAGATAAAGAATCAGTCCTCATCTCAAAAGCCTGACATTTGAATCCAAGATGAAGATGAAAGGTTCACATAAATCATGTTTAATTTTTCCACAACACTTAACATAACAGTGATTTTAGATGGCTGGATTCTGAGAGCCCAGGAAAACTGTTAGACGTTCTCTATGTTAACTTGATTAGCTCATCAAGACCCCTTATGCTTTGAATCCTTTATCTTTTTTTCCTCATAATCAGCTACAAATATTATTCTAAATACAGTATACTCTCAGTAATAAAAAGGCCAACTTACAGGAATCATCCAGTTGGCCAGGTCACCATACTTAGACACCTGCATAGCTCCAAGCATTGTCAAATCAACATGGCCTCTGGCAAGAGAAACACAGTGTGTAATCAGCAGATTATGTTCAAGTAACAGCCCACAAATCTTTATGAGTTTTTATTTGCTTTCTCATTACAACAATTTAAAAACTGCGTACCGCAGAGGTAACAACCATTTTGTCACTCACAGGTTTTTCTCTTCCTCTAAATGCACTGCTGATGATTTTTCTGTCTGCCTACTGAGCCTCAAAAATGCTATTATTTTTGTCTGGGTTTGGTTAATTGCATGCACAGACAATCAGCTCTGAACTCATACTTTTAAGTGCACTCCTTTACATATTTACATACACTCATTATCTTTTCAGAGCCATTACAATTTAGTGTTTGTTTGCATCCAAACTCCTTCCCGAAAAACAAACAAAAAACAGGTGCAGATGGTGAATTTCCATTAGGGAGGTGGAATGAGGATCACAGTTCCAAGTTGAAGAAAGATAATACACTGTGTGCAAGTACAGATTAGATACTTGGAAATGACCAAACAGTAATTGTTAAAACCTAGTTATAAATATGTTTATACATGGCCAGGTGGTGGGAGACACAAGCATCACTATGGTGTCTGCTGGTTACAATGTTTTTCAATTTCCAATTGCTGGACCTAATATTCTGTAAATCATCACTCATTAAGTCCATGACCATTCTGCAAGCTGTTAAACATTAACCACATTTTGAAGAATTACTAATGACTTCAACCACTGAGTTTGTTCTTCTAATGTCTTGTTACATACCCTCTTATCATTGCAAATGATTCATCACTAGAGAAATAAGAAGAACCAGGAAGAACAGTGACTGTCTCCTTACCTGTAAAAGAAATAAGTTACTGTTTCTATGTATTTTGTCTCTGGTAAAATAAACCAAAACTATTAATGAAGAAGAAAGTTTTTTTAATGTTTTTTTTTGTTTGTTTGTTTGTTTAATTCTGTATTAATATGGACCCAATTACAATTATGAAATCACACATAAGCCAAATCAACCACAATAAGCTAGAAAGCAGTTTGTGTCTTCCTCCTGTTTGACCTCGAGCAGTACCATGCAAGATAGCACTGAAACCAGGGGTTAAAAAATTTCTATTGACTTCAGCTTTCTGCACTAAGGTGATTCTCTTCTGAAAGAGAGAAAGAACATCTTCAGGAGACAGCAAGATTGCAAGGAAGATTGAGCAGATCAAATTCAACAGAATCTACAGTGACAATGATTTAGAAAACAGAAAAATAAGTGGCAGATTCTAATTTTGCTTTCTTAAAGTACAAACAATAAAGCTCTTCGTGATGTGAAGTTCTTAGGTCAAGCAAGGGAGCTAACACAGAAACGTTTTACTTTGATTCTGTCCAGAACTCTTACTACTGCCAGCACTTTGGATCAGACTGAGAAATAAACCATGTATATAGAGTGCCTGTGGAAAGTCACCAGAAACAGCCGTGGGTAGAATTATCAACCAAGCATAGAAAATTTAGAGAATAAAATTTTAGACTTCAGTACAAGATGACAGTGAGAAGTAACAACAGCAGGGAACAGACATTAGACGTCATTAAACATTTTCCAGAAAACAGGGAAAAAGAAGACAACAAGGAAACAAAGAGGCTGAGAAAAGTAAAAAGGAAAATTAAAACTGACAACTAAGTTATCTGTTGTAATTTGCAAAATGGACTTTATGTCTATTATACCACGAAGATTTTCTGAGGAAAACAAATTTGATAGACTAAAATAGTATAGAATTAAGGTCCTGCAGTCAAATCACAAAGAATTCAGCAAGCGAAGAATTCACCCAGACCAGTTCTGAGAATGCCTGAACTGTCCACCTATCAGGCTCCCAATGAATGGGAGCGACGATGCAGTCTGTAAGCTGTAACCTGGAGAAAGAACCACACAAGAAAGAGGCAACCTACAGCAGTGCTGAGAAGAATGGGACACAGACTGAGGGCCAAACAACAGTTTAACAAGAATGCCATATTAACAGTTCCTGAAAATGCTCTCATAAAGTCTGTACCTGTAAGTAATTCTACATAAGGCAAATGCCTACCTTGAAATTACAGTGAACATAACATATCTTGAATTGAGACATTCAAGAAAGGGAACAAACAACAAAACAGGTACTTCAGAAAAATGCAGTTCTATTTGCAGATAAAAATTTGCAAGAGCCTAAACTCAAGTTTATTTTGAAAATGTGCACTTTGAGGTCTGACACTGTATCATTACAGGCTAGGTTACGAATGTGAACAAAAGTCCTATTCCTTTGCCATGTAGCTTCTATTTTTTTCAAATGCTTTTATAAATTTGGTTGAAAAGCATCCAGAGCAGTCTTAATCCAACAAAGTGTCAGTAAGGCTCTGCATTTTTCAGCAATAATATCACTGATGTTTTGGTGACTGAGCAGATTCATCTAATCTTGTGTCCTGTCTATTGCCCCTTCAGAGAAAGATGCTAAGATGCTTAACATTGAATTAGCAGTACTAGAATAATCTGACTTCCATGTCACATTCTAGTATCTTACATTAGCTACAACATTCTCACCTCAAAAATATTTATCAACCAAACAATAAGTCAAGATCATCTTTACATCCATATAAAAACACAATATTTTTTTCAGTCTTTATCAAGTTCTTGGCTATTTTTCCCTTTGTCACTCTGTTAGTACGTTCATTACAAATATATCAATACTAGAACTTATCATTAAGCTCTAATGAGGGTGCAGAGTTTTACCTTCTGTGATAAATACTTTTTGCTTTCAACATTCTTTTCCTTCCAATGACACTTTCACTTAAACTCTCAAACTCAGTTAAATCATCAACTCAGCTCCCATGTGTCTGACATTTTCCTTTATACAAAGTATCTCAACTGTTACCTACCTACTGTTGAAACACTGGACTCAATTCCTTAATAATTTCTAATTTCAGATCAGAAGAATGCCTTAAATAACTTCTCATTTAAAACATAATACTGAATGGGGAAATAACATAGCAGTATGACAGTTGTATCAGTTAGTTAATCCAGGTAGCAAATGTTTCAAGTCAGCAGACAATTGCTGGACTGCACTACGATACTAAATTAAAAGCTTGTTTGATGTCAATGATTTATCTCACTTGGCTATTAAAGAGTTTAATTGTATTAGCTAATAGAGATAGAAAGGTACTTTCTACATACATACACATATATACGCAGGAGTGGTAGGGTAAGGAATTATTAATGAAATAAGTCTAAGCTTGTCAGGCACAGGCTCACGTTTTATACCATTAGCAACGATAAGAGCTTATAAGGCATCACATAGAAGAACAGGTAAGGCTTACTTCATAGAATCACCAAGGCTGGAAAAGACCTCCAAGATCATTTACAACAACTATCCACTTTCTAACACTTCCTCACTAAACCATGTCCCTCAGATACAACATCTCTTGAACACTTCCAGGGACAGTAAGTCCACCACCTCCCTGGGCAGCCTATTCCATTCCTCACAGCTCTTCTGGAGAAGTAGTATTTCCTGATGTCCAACCTGAATCTCCCCTGATGCAGCTCAAGGCCACTCTCTCCAGTCCTACTGCTAGTTACCTGGGATAAGAGGCTAATCCCCACCTCACCACAACCTCCTTTCAGGTAGTTCTACAAAGCAATAAAGTCTCCCTTCAGCTTCCTCTTCTCCAGATTAAACAACCCCAGCTCCCTCAGCTGCTCTTCACAGAATCACAGAATCACAGAATTGTAGGGGTTGGAAGAGACCTCCAGAGATCATCGAGTCCAACCCCCCTGCCAAAGCAGGTTCCCTACAGCAGGTCGCACAGGTAGGCATCCAGGCAGGTCTTGAACATCCCAAGAAAAGGAGACTCCACCACCTCCCTGGGCAGCCTGTTCCAGTGCTCCGTCACCTCACTGTAATGAAGTTCTTGCGCACATTTGTGCGGAACTTCCTATGCTGCAGTTTCCAGCCGTTTCCCCTTGTCCTGTCTCCACTCACCACTGAACAGAGTCCGGCCTCGCCATTCTGCCCCCCACACCTCAGATATTTATAGACCTGGATCAGGTCCCCTCTCAGTCTTCTTTTCTCAAGGCTGAACAGACCCAGGTCACTCAGACTTTCCTCATAGCAGAGATGCTCCAGGCCCTTCACCATCTTTGTGGCCCTCCGCTGGACTCTTTCCAAGAGATCCCTGTCTTTTTTGTACTGGGGAGCCCAGAACTGGACGCAGTACTCCAGATGAGGTCTTACCAGGGCAGAGTAGAGGGGGAGGATCACCTCCTTCGACCTGCTGGCCATGCTCTTTTTAATGCACCCCAGGATGCCGTTGGCCCTCTTGGCCACAAGGGCACACTGCTGGCTCATGGCCGACCTGTCATCCACCAGGACACCCAGGTCCCTCTCCGCAGAGCTCCCCTCCAGCAGCTCATCCCCCAACCTGTACTGGTGCATGCAATTATTCCTCCCCATATGCAAGACTCTACACTTGCTTTTGTCAAACCTCATCCGGTTTTTTTCTGCCCAGCTCAACCTAATTCTTACCCAAGTAAGCTTACCCAACTAACCCAGTAGCTTACCCAACTCTTCATAAGACTTGTGCTCCAGACTGCTCACCAGCAGGTCATTCCAGGGCCTCGATGCCTTTTTTCTAGTAAGGGGCCCAAATCTGAGTGCAGCACTTGAGGTATAGCCTCATCAGCACTGAGTACGGAGGGACAGACACCTCCCTACTCCAGGTGGCAATGCTGTTTCTGATATAAATCAGGATGCCCCTGGGCTTCTTGGCTACCTGGGCACACTGCTGGCTCATATTTAGCTGAGTGTCGACCACTAACACCAGGACCAGTTCTTCCACACAGACTCACAGACTTCCTTGGCTGTTTCTTCAGCTTATCACAGTGCAATATAGAGGTCCAATTTTATGTGGAAACAGAACAGATGCAAGCACAACTTTCCATTAAGAAAACAGAAATCAGACCTCCTTCAGATACAATAAGCCATAACAAGATTAATGGCTGCCTCTGTAAGGCCCCTGAGCAGTAGGAAGTAGAGAGAAATTCAGCTGGAGAAATGCAGGGGAGGCGTAGCAGGCAGTGTGACAGGAAGGTAAAGTTCTTCCAGACAGAGCTGCTCCTTTGTGGACCTCCCCATCCCTGCTTTCACTATAGCACCTAGGACCTGTATCCTCTCCTCGGAACAGGGAAAGCAGCCATCCACCTAGCTTCATCACATGACTGGCACCTGGCAAGCAGGCTGCAGCTGCCTCTCCAAGCACACATCAGGATATCATTTACACAACTCACTAGGCAGGAGGAAACCAGACTACTATGTAAAGAACCTTTACAAGCAGTCCCACAAATAAATCATTGAGAACCATTTTCTTGAAGACGTGACATGAAAAGTAGCAGGAAAAGAAGAATGTACATTCATGTAACAGCTTCACCAAACAAGCCCACTTGTGGAAAGGAAAATGATAATCTTCATCACCTGGACTGGAAAAGAGCTCCCTTCAGTTGCTACGACAATGAACAAAAGCATAAGCTAGAATATGTAATCCCTCTATTGATCAAAGCCAATCTTTGCTTAAAAGACTACAAGAAGTGAAATGCATTAATTTATACATAAATAAATCAGGAGCTTAAATACCAAATCAAAATAAAGTTTTTACATCAACAAAGGAAAGTCACCTACCAAAAATTAAATTCATTTAAAAGATTTTACCTGCATTAATCAGGTCTGGATCAACTTCACTTTCAAGTGGATAAGGACCCTGACAATAAGGCAGACATATTATTTAATAACTTATTTACATTATGACTCATTTGATGTACAATTTCTTACTGCTTTAGTATTTCTCATGCTTATTACTGAAAACAAATCAGCACAAACATGCATTCACACATTTTCTTTTCACTTATGCACAACACAGTTCTTGATACAAGACAAAATTTACATCAACTAATATATCAAGACTGATAGATATTGCCCAGAGTCTGCTAGAATTACTACATAACCAGAGAGCGGAGGTACTTGTTTTTGAATAATATTGTTGCTGTAATAATGCAATTTAATTTTTTTCCCCAAAAATTATGCTTCATAAGCTATCCTAAAAGGAGTGGTCTTGTAAACCAAACACAAGACTTGGTCTCCAGGTTCTGACTCCTTCCCATAAAACAAGTATTTAGGAACATACTTTAATTAGCACTATAATGCTGAAATGAGCATTTACACAAAGACTTTCTTGCACATACAGAACTTTATGATCATGCACTACTGAATAAGCTTGAATATGTTTTCTACCATAATTATTTATGGTAGCTTATGGGCAGCTTAGGGGCAACAGGGAGGAATAAAACCTAGCAGTACAACATGGTAAGCACATTGCTATTAAGTGACCGTGATATATTCTTACCAAACCTAGGACTCCATTTTCACTCTGTAGGTGAACAGTTATGTCTGGACTGATGAAGTTACTGGCCAACAAGGGGATTCCAATACCCAGATTAGCTGAAGAAAACTGGTCAAGGCACAAATAGGAACACACAGCGCAAGCAAACTTAAAAAGTTATCACTGTACTGTCATAAGAACTGTTGTCCACAAACACTCCTATTTTTAGCTGGATGTCTCACACTCGTGCTTGAATTACTTTCCTATTTGGACTGGCTAGTTGCATTCTGTCAAATATTTATTTAGCTAAAAAAGAAAATCAAAACAGTTCAAGTAAGCTACATCTGTACTGCACTTAACTTTTCAAAGAAATTCTTGTCAAACATTCAACACTAATGAATATGACTTCTTCTATATGACTGAAGAGGAACTACAGACGTGCATGCACAATATCCCATCTGTTTCAATCAGGTGTTATTGAGAAAAGAGAGTTCCAGGCTCTGTGAAAATCGAACAATGAGTGTGATAATTAACTTCCATTAAACATAAGTAGCTGCAGATATTAGTCTAGCAAGACATCACTTTAACCTATAGTATGTCTGGAGGATACCATACATGCCGTCCTCAAACTCTAAAGCAGCCCGTCTGATGATCCTCTCCCTCACATTATCTCCTGCCTTTTGTTTGGCTTTTGAGTCTTCAGGCTTTCGGATTGATAAGCGCTGCAAAACAGGAGGCAATCATAATCAGAAATTAGCATCCAGATTCTTGCATCTTATGATGCAGAATCCTGATTTGTGATTGATGAGATACTTCATCTAAGAATAATTTTATTTATCCATCCCTTAGAAAGAATGACCTTTTATTCTAGCAGTTCAATCTCACCTAAGCCAGTGGAATAATCAAGATTGTTCTATGGCTATCACTGACTTTTTTATTTGTTTATATTGTCAAGTCTGAGAAAGTATCTGATAGACATAACTTGTTAAGAAGAAAAAGAGGGAAAGAAAGCAACAAGCATTAGTGCAAATACTAGCAAGTTTGAGTATCATTACTCCAGAGATATCCAAATAGATTTTTGAAATGTCAGCCTAAAATTCAAATACTGCTCCCTCCCTGTAATCATTCAATTCAGTGATGACATTCTAGACATGCACAAGATCAACAAATGCCAGTTATACAAAAAAAAAAAAAAAGAGAGAAGCTGGGTAACTGCATTTTCACAGTAAGTCTACATAATCTCGCATAAATCTGTTTGGTATGTCTTCCAGAGACTTACTGGCCTTTAACTGATGTTCTCTAAATCACACACATAAAAATACCACAGTATTCAAGAAGTTTCTAAGACCTTTTCTGTGATTATTTCTTTCACATAAATGGTTTTCTCCACGGATTTCTCCCAAGTGTATAATGCTGCTCTAAACAACATCCTCTGTTGTACTCACTCACATTTTCTCTTCACATATCTCTAAGACATAAAAAACAGATCTGGCAAAATTATCCTCTATTCCTTTTAAGGAACACAAAAGAAATTTTGCACTTTCTTTTTCCTCTATGTTAGAAGTCTGTCTCCTTTTCAGCAGTCAGGATCAGTCATTATCAGCTCTCCTACACTTCCTATTAACTTTCTTTTTATGTCCAACATATTTTTCCTAGAATTGCTTCACTTGTGCATTTTGAAAAAATTAATAACAATCACGGAAGATTTCTGTGTAGCAAACAGAAAGCTGGATAGAAAGGATGACAAAAATATGATGAGGGACCACGTGTGAGCCCAATTAGGCATGAACTGCTATTTAAAGCCAGTATGAATTATGACAGACTAGGTTCTCTTCATTCCTTTTCTCCCCATTAATATTCATCCTCATTAATGCTTTCGTATGGGTAGACATTCCCAACCGATGTCGGTTGCTCCAAAAGTAATGCTTCCTATTTATTTTCATGGAAACTGTAACAACCACCAAGAGTTCAATAACACTATATGATAGAGCAAATTCTCAGCTACAAAACACTGTTTTTCAACATAGTCACCATCATGAACTACACATTTTCATCAGCCATTAACAAGAGCCTGCATACTGTGTCTCATACAAACTGCACTCGTGGAGGTAGCCCACCACCTCACTGTGCCTACATCCACTGTTTGGTCTCCAGAAACATTCATCAAGCATTAATGAATGTCAATGGGTGACTTTTTATCTGCATGGAAGAACTCAGTGACACACCTTTTCTTCACACACACTTTCATTTCAGACACCATTCTGTCAGGCTCCCCTCTGCTGCCATCTGTCACACAGAAACAAAATGGAAAGGGACACCGGTGGGAAGGTTCAGCCTCTACTGCCATACCTCCAACATCTGTCTCCATGAGCAAATATAACAAAATAGGAGACAATGCTTTTGGAACAGACCTCATTCTATGATAGAAAAGTATGAATAAAAGCATTAAAAAAACTAATCCCTGTTACAACTTTGTTGTATAGTTTACAGCACCATTTCTCCTTCTTACTTCATTTTTTTTGTAAGAGGGGCAGGTGCCTATGCACGTACCCAGTCCCCTTGTTCAGACTAGATAGTCAAGCAGCTCATGTACTTTTTGTAACTGTCCTCCTTATACAAAGAATCAACACTTTACCCACTGCCGAAGTCCAATAAAAACAGAAACTTATTAAACACAAAATGGATTTCTTCCATGAAAGTCAAAAGCTTTTAAACTGTGATATTTCAAAAGGAAGAAGCAGGGCATTCTAACAAAATATATCCAAAGAAAAATTTTTTAAAAAGGCTTAGTAGTCTGTTGCTAGTCAGATCCTCAATCACCTGCTTTTCCAGAATGAGAACTTACAATAACAGTTACAATAACAGATACAATAATAATGTCCCTTTATACATTAACCTAAATCAGCTTACTTAGATCAAAGTCTTTGTAGGACTACTTAGCATAAATTTAAGAATAAAATAATTTTAAAATAAAATAATTATATTCCCTTTGTTCAGCTTTTTCTTTCTGTCAAGGTGTTTCTTCCTTGTATTATGTGTCTCCTCCTCCACGAGCTCGTATAACAACACTTTTAATAATTCCACATCAAGACTATGGACACATCAGAAAAATACGCAGTTTTGAATTACACTTTAAGAGCTTTGTCACATCAACAAAATAAAAAAAGAGGGACAAAGCTTGAGTGAGATAGAGCCATGGAAACAAAAATAAAGAAAAAAAAATAATAATGAAAAAAAATTAAAAAAAAAACCAGTACATGATGATTTCCTTCCAAGTTTTCAGCGTTTTAATATTATTACCTCAACTTTTATTAAGTATTGGCATATTTTATTCAGACCACAAATGTCACTGTGTAAAAAATGTCCCATTTAATGAACAGGAAAGAAAGGTTCCAGAATCTCCACAATGTAATGTAATCCATTACAAGGCACAGAATAAGCTGCAACTAGTTCTACCTGTCCATGTAAAAAGCTTCCCAGTAGAAAAAAAAGAAACATTACTGTTAAAATCAGCTCTTAGTACAGGTATTTCCCTTGTGTCTACAGGAGGTGATCTGGGAGAAGAAAGAAGAATGAAGAAGGATTTTTCATCATCAGATTTTCAACTGCAATAAAGTGATTGAGGACGCAGAAAGTTATTCTAGCTCATTTAGGGATTGAGTAAGAGAGTCTGAGGCATAAAACACAAAGTTCAATTCTCAGTACTCCACCAAGTACTTAAGTAAATACATAAACCCCAGTACTTAGCAAAACCTGGCAAGTTTTCATTGCTAACACTTAATGGCTAGCGTAAGAATCCCGTAAAAATTCTAAAATACAACTGACACTGAAATGTGATCAATAAGAAGGGCTACTTACTTCAATTCTCTTTTCAAACTTCTCTCCCTGTATCAGGCGATCAACATAGATTTTGGGAACATGAATATCTTCTGGTGCAAATGCTCCAATATCAACAATTTCTTCCACCTACAAAAGTAAAAAAGAAAACAAATATTTACAAACAATATGAAAAGAGTGATAGTTAACGAGTACGAGCAGTTAAGTGGACTTAACTACAGTGGACACCAACGAAAACCAACGAACTGGACAAAACAGATAATCCCTTTAAAATAGGCTACTTTTCATGGTTAATCTTTCCTCTTCTTTCATACATAGCAAACAGCACAATTCCTTAGAAGGATATTTTACATTCATACTGAAAGCAGTTGATATTTTAACAGCTCAATTTGTACAATCACCATACAGAAATATACCAAGTACATGGTACAAAGTACATGTCAGTTTAGAAAAAAAAGTACAAAGTCACATTTACAGTTTACACCCAAATAGAAGGAAATGATAAGCTAGACAAGAAGTTGTAGTACAAAGCAGAAGTATGAATTTAAAAGTTACAAACTAAAAAGCTACCTTAAAGTTTCATAGAATCATAGAATCACAAGGTTGGAAATGACCAATAAGATCATCCAGTCCAACCGTCTCCTCATCACCATTTGCCACCACAAGCACTCAACCATGTCATGCAGCACGTCATCCAGATGGCTCTTGAACACTGCCAGGGACGGCGACTCCACCACCTCCCTGGGCAGCCATTGCAGTGCCTGACCACTCTGAGAGAAATAGTTCTTCCTTATGTCCAACATAAACCTCCTCTGATACAACTTGCAGCCATAACAACTTGTTCTTTGCAAGACATTCAAAAAACACAATTAAGACTTCTGAACTGTAGCAACTAGTTGCAAAGATATAGAAGCTTCTACAGTTAGTGAAGCAAATTCAACAGAAATGGCACCTACACACAGTACATTTAAAATGTGACCTAACTGGAGCACCATAAACATTTTCTTTCTGACTATGTTTGAATTCAGAATGCTCTAGGTGGGGATCCTGATATTGCCCCATGCCTGCAGCAGTACCTCAGCCTCATTTGAGGCTCAAAACCTCAAGAACATAGAACACATCTCAACAAAATAAACATCTCCAAACAAAATAAAACTCATAAAACTCACACACATACTCGGCCTGCATCCAATCACAGAGAAAATGTGTTATTACTATAATGCTAAAGTCATAAATTGAAGAATGTCTGAAACAATCTACTCATAAGGAAATTAAACAGCTTCCAGACTGCTTCATCATCAGAAACTAATTAAACTTTCAGGAATCTCTGAAAGAAGTCTAAAAATCCCCAAACAAGACCCTGAGCATGACATATCAGTAGGGATACATCATTTAGCAGCCATCACCAATGAAGGAACATTAAAGAATTTAAAATTCGATTTGACATCCAATTGTTACTACAAAATGTGATCAACATTAGAATCTATATAGCATTTCTGAAGGATAATTACCTCCCTACTGTGTTTCGTTCTATGACAACAAACAAAGAAATCCACCATAAAAGCAGCAAAGGGAGAAGAAAAAATTTAAAAAATAGAGTACAATAAAAAGAGTGCAGCCAGCACGTCAAAGGAAGTGACCCTTCCCCTGTACTCTGCCCTTTTGAGGCCACATCTGAAGCACTCTGTCCTGTTCTGGTCTTCCCAGTTCAAAAAAGACAGGAAAATGCTGGATGGTCATAAAGATGCTGGGTCCTGGAGCATCTCCCTTCTGAGGAAAGGCTGACAGACCTGGGTCTGTTCAGCCTGGAGAAGACTTAGAGGGGATCTTAGAATCATAGAATCATAGAATCACCAAGGTTGGAAAAGACCTAAAAGATCACGCAGTCCAACCGTTCACCTATTCCCAATAGCTCCCACTAAACCATGTCCCTCAACACAACATCCAGCCTTTCCTTGAACACCCCCAGGGTCGGTGACTCCACCGCCTCCCTGGGCATCCATTCCAGTGCCTGACCACCCTTTCTGAAAAGTAATACTTCCTCATGTCCAGCCTGAATCTCCCCTGCCATAGCTTGAAAAGAAATAGAAATATCTAGAAATTAGAAATGTCTAGGAGGCATCAATCGTACATTTAATTGTGTAATTAAAATTAAGTATGTCAAAATACTTACATAGCAATATAATACAACTCTGAAAAGGGATTATAAGTTTATGCGTAATGCCTGAAAGATCATTCTGTTCCCCAAGTGAAATTGATCAGGATATCTATGCGAAAAAGTAAAAACTCTGGAAGGGAGAGCAGAAACATGATTTGATGATCTAAGTGAAACACTGAAAATTGCTGGCAGCCTAACTCTTGCAGTGTTGCCTACACCGCCACTAGAGATGAAGCTAGGCCTACAAAAGTGAAATGGAAAATCCGATGGCCATGGGAACCAGCACCTTCACTTTCTAATAAGCACTACTGTGACCCAGTGAGTCACAGCAAGACAAAACCCAAACATCTTTCTAGATAAGAACAATAATCTAAAAATAAATAGTTCTATAGCTGGGTATATTCAGTTCTCTTTAATATTGCAATTGTAATATTGTAATATTGTAATTTAATATTACTCCCTTGTAAGTCTTTTTTGTATCACATCTACAGTCCAATCCTCAATCACTCACAAAGGAGAACATCTGTACTAATAATCAGAAGGTTGTGTATGAATTTTTAAAAAACATTTTTATTGTTAAGTTTTACTCTCCATTTTATTTATCCTTCTACTATTTCTCCCACATACTAAATTTACCTTACCTTTATTTTGCCACATACAGACAAATTCCTATACACACCTAAAATCATCATACAACATCCTACCAAAGAGATACAAAATGTAGCAAAACATTTAAAGATAACTAATCAAGGCAGATTACCTCCTGTACCTTTTAAATTGTTAAATCAAAATATTTTGGTTCTATTTTGACTGTCCTAATCACTTGCTCACTTTCAATCTTAATCCCAAAGTGATAGAAGGTAGAAAGTTTGTACAGCTTTCCTGTATCAGCAAAATTAAAGAGTAATCTCAAGACCATATGAGATGAGTTTTCTCTTCCAGTAGGCTCTGATTCATGACTCAAATATTCTTTCATTGTTTCAAGAGTTTCACATTATCAGTTTCCTTCCTGTGTATATGTCCTTGCAAATCTTGCCTGATTGTTGCCAATGGAAGTCATTGAAGTCACATGGAAGTAGAATGAATAAATTCAAACTTTCTGAATAGTAGTTTATCTGCAAGTACAACATAAAAGCTGTTCCCTGCTATGATTCACAAGAGTGTTCTGTCACTCATGTTGGTATCAGCACTCATAGAATGAATGGTCACTTGTTTAAAAATATCACTTCCTTCTGTAATTTACATCCATTTTCCCCTTTTTAAAGTAGTTTGGTTTACTTTCACTTAAGGAAATTCAGCTAGTATTCTGAAGTTTTAACTCAGAGTTTCTAAGGACTTCTAGAGAAAGAACAGGAACCTTGAAGGTTATAAGCTTCCAGTAATTAAGATAATGAACAGCATTCTTGATCAAAAACTGGAAAAGAAGTTGTAATTACACAACTATTCATGTAAAAATGCTTGAACCTAGAAAGACTTTTGAGTACTCACTTTTTAACCAGTTTCTGCTGCCTAATTATATGCTTTATGATATGTGAAAAAATTTCAGCTGTTTTAAATATGTTTTAATAAAACTGAAGTATAGCCAGACAAGAATACATAATTCTTTGTTATACAGGAAAAAAAAATATAGTCAAAAACAGAACTGGTGGAAAGAAGAATGGCTGAGAATGAGGAGGGGGATGGGAAAATTAGCAAACCTACACATTTCTAAATTGCTTATTTTTAAAGTAGCTTTATTAAATCCCTACAAAATTATATCCATTATCACAGTACTCATCAGTTCATCAAACTGAAATAATAAAAATACTCAGTAGAATGGAACTAGAATAAAACATGTCAACAAACAATAGAAGAAATAAATTTACCCCCTTAGATGCTAGGTAGAACCTTATTTTAATACTTCTTCAGTTTACTGCTCAAAGAGTCAGTATGTCTCTGCAAAATTCATTGCAACATTTACAAAATCATTAGAAGTTTAAAAAACAAAAAACAGCTAAGAGGAAAAGTCATGTCTGTCTGGTCTATTGAAGAAAAGTCTGAATGAAGGTAGTCAGAAACTGTGATCAAACATTCCCCATGGCTAATGACAAACAATTTAAAAAGTCTTAATTATTTTAATTATTTAGACTGAACTTTCACAAAAAGCTTTAGTACTGTAAAACAATGGAATATACTCTGAAGACTGCCAGAGAGATGGAGGAAAGAGCAAAATAGGTTAATATTCAGTCATTTCTGTCTGAATACAAGGAGGTAAAAGAGATGTTCTGAATTCTGTTCTGTGCTTTCCTAGATCTAAGATCAGCCACACCATGAAATTTCAATGCCTGCCAGCTTTCACTGTAATGAAACAGCCATCAGTCAATAAAAATTCCTGAAGCACACTTTCAAATACTGAAAAGCAAGCAAATGCTAAGTCATCCGATAAAAGCAGGTCTTAGAATGAATGAAGTTGCCAGACTTAGAATAAACTTTTTAATAAGCGTACGGAGGAGGTGCAGGGGAACAGCAGAAATCTAAAGTTCAGTTCAGTTTCACACTGAGGCTAATGGCACTGATATAACTCACTCTGAAAGACCTTTCAGTCCAGTAACCCTCTTTCTTGGTAAAGAATGGAAGCTTAAAGAACTACTTTTGGTTATTCTACCTGGTTTCTTGTCAACATGCATTTCAGGAATCTCTGTGGTCAAAGGCTTGGCATAGACGACCACCTTGTGTCATAGCTTCTGATGAACTCTGAACTTGTCAAAGTTTCCTTGGCACCCAAAACTTTTTGTACCACTGCATTTCTTGTGCAAAAATATTTTTCATCATGTCTTGTATTTTCACTGGGTGCTTCCTTTTCTTGCAATACAGGAATAGCAGGCTCTTTGTCTGTTCTACATCAACGAAGAATCTATGTACCTTAATGCCTTTCTGCTTTCTAGTAGACTGTTACTGTCTCTGAACACTGTAGATAAAATGCAGTGAGACA